CAGGGGGAAAGAATAGGGATTATGTTGACTCAGCAACAGAAAAGATCAAAATATCTTTTCATATCAATAGTTCTCAAATTTTAGGAAGCATGAAAATTACCTGGAAGTCTTATTAAAACACCACTTTGGGGCTACCCCCTGAATTTCTGATTCAGTGGGCCTGGGGTGGAGCCTGAGCGTTTGCATGTCTAACAAGCACCCAAGGGGATGCTGATCCTACTGTTTAGAGAACCACTTTGAGAACTACTGACATGTCAATGCTATTTTGCCTGAATGATGAAAGTCTGAGGGTGATTTGATCCCACTCCGTTCAGGTGTGTTCAATTCCACTCCAGGAAGATGGTAAACAGCTGTTCTTTCTCCTCACCAGAGAGAAGAGAGGAAATGGAATTAACCTGCAGCAGAATGATTTAAGTTTGCTCCGAAGGGGAAACGTCCTTCCATAAGGGTTATTAAGCACTAAGATGGGCTTAGAGGGTTACAGAGAGGAAGTTTTTGTTACCTCCCTCCCTGGAGGTTTTTAAGAATTTACAGGTATTAACTTGAATGGAGAGGAAGAAAAAAGAGATAGCGTAAGGTATACCAGTTATTTTCTGGTGGACACAGACCCATTCCACTACCTTTCAGTGAGCTGGGATAACTAAACATTTTATCTTCCTTTATTCCACAATTAAAGTGATTAGGGATTGTTTCTTCTGTTTTCTCTCACTTGAAGAAGAGTGTTTCAGACTCACATCGTTTGGAGATAGTTTAATTTAAGTTCTTTCCTCGAGGCAGAAGAACAGATCAACCAGGGCATCTTGTCTTCTTATTTTCTACTCCGCGTGCTAGGAAGGCACCACATCAAGAGCTTTGCGTCTGCCTCTTCTAAGGACAAAGCCTAGATGGCGAATCAGTAAAACTTACCAAAAGGATGCTTTCAGCTCGTGCACAGAGCTTCCAAAGAAAACCTTCGGACAATGAAAACCGGTTTAGTTCTATAGCCAAGATAATACATTTTCTTCAGGTTAAACTCTTCATTCTCAGGACTTTGTCAACTCAGAATACAAAAACCAGCCACAGTTCACAACTTACTATTTCCCTTCACCCACTAGACATCTGAATTTTCCCACAGTTCCCACCATGGACCTTGGAACACTGACATGTCACGCTCCCACCTGCTGTAAGAGCTTGGACTCGGGAAGTTGAGAGACCCAGTTCACAGCCCCAGCCACCAACTCCTGCCTGTGTGACCTTCAGCAAGTTATTCAATCTCTCTGTTCGTCCTCTGTAAAATGGAATCAATTATACCCATTTGCCTGGACTGCCTTGATATCTAAATGAGACACAGTGTGAAGAAGACCTAGCCCAGCACCTGCATCACAGGGCTCAAAAAATGTTAGGGTTTTTTCCCCTTCAATCCAGTTGAAGGGGCAAAGCCTAATCCAATACTTGTTACAAAGACAATTTTGTATTTAAGTATGCAGATACTGTCTATGCCAGTTCTTCTCCCATTTCAATGCAACTTTACTTCGAGGAGTGTCTCTGGCCTTCCACTGACCCATACAAAAGGAAAATCCTCTCTTGCACTAGTATATTAATAAACTAAATTGTTTTGGATGAATTTACCCAATTAACTCAATGTTTCCTTTGGAATCTACTATTTCCTTTAATATGCGGTGAGAAAATGAAGAAATAGCTCTGGAATCAACAACTGATATTTGGAATTCTCTGCTTTATTGAAAAAAGCAAATACTAAGTCCCAAAGATTTTCAAATTGGGAATTACTCAGATTATAACTAAAAATTAAGCAAATAGCTATAAAATGAGAATAATATGATAATACTATATGTCTCAAAGCATCAGTGAGGATGGAATGCATTTAGTAGAGTTCACTGTATGTAGTTATCTGTAATTATTGTTATTATTTTGAAGACTTTGAGTATTTGATGATGAAAGTCTTCTTCATATCTAAAATTTGATGCTTAGAAGTAAGTAATTTAATGCTCAAGAAAAGCATGTCTCTTTCCTTCACTCTATGTACATCACCTTCATAGACTGATAACTTTAGGGCCTACATGACCATATCCACAGCAAATTCCTACTGGTGCCATGACTTCATTCTTTTCTATTGATTTGTAGTAGTAGGTGTTTATGGTCAATCTCCAAGTACATTTCTTTCATAATTGACTTATGTCTTTCATACCTCCCTCCCAGCCCATTTCTGTGGGAAAGGAGCATGGAGTCATAACCATTTAGAACTGAAGGTACCCTGGAGAACTCCTAATTCATTTACATTGTTTTGCAGATGAGAAAACTGGGGTTCAAAATGCTAGGTGACATTCCAAAGCCCCTAAACCAGCACTGTCAAAACAAGAATTCTCATCCCAGATGATAGGTAATTAGTGCCAATGAAGCATGGATAGATTCTGAATATTCATTGCATGGAGAGTGTGTTTTTATTTTCATATCTCCAAGAATTCTTTTATTTATAAGTAACATAAAGCAACTTTAAGAGCCTTCAGCAAAACAGGTTGCATTCGCTTATATAATGCAACACCAGGCTGCACAGAAATCGGGCCACAAGACCAGGACATGGTATTGGTCTCTTGACTCTTTATTGACTTCATTTTCCTTACAGATTCACCCTAACACAGGAAAAGGATTATAACCATTAGGACCACGACCTACTGAATATAACAGCAACCCACTCCATAGGAGCATAACTAAGTAGAGGTTTCATTTTTCTCACATAAAAATAATTCTCCAAATGAGTAAGCCAAGGCCAGTACAGCTATTTGAGCCAGTTATCAATGATCCAGGGGCTTCTCAATTCCTACTCCATTGTTCTTAGCAGGCTTAAGTCTAGCCCATGGTCTGTAAGTTTTAGGAGAAGGGGGAAAAGGAGTAAGGACAAAAAAAATCACCGGTCAGGCTGAGTCTGAGCCCTGTTATCAGGACAACAACAGCTCTCCAAAAGCCCCACGTTGTCGATTTCCATTTATGGCACATTGGACAGAAATGGGGGACGAGGTCACATGTGACTCCAGGAGAGTGTGAAGAGATGGATATTTTCAAATAGGAACATTACTAACTCTTTAAAAAAAGGTGGGATTTTGTAAAGGAGAGAATGAATATTGGGTAGGCAATGTGCCCACCACAAGGATATTTCTCTATTATTTTCAACCAGACTAATCCTGAAAAGAGCCATTAATTAGCTCTCTTGGTCTCCAAACCCACCCTTGTGGCCAGGACAGTGGGGTATTATGATTCACAACCCCAGTCAGAACCACAGGCAGGTTATAAGGAGGCACAATTTCTCAGCAGGCTACACAATAAATATGGCAGTCCTCATTGCATGATGTATAACTAGAATCCAAGATTCTGCTCAATATTTAAAATGCTGATCACGGTTGTGAATTTTGAAAACCATCAAGAATTTCATCGGATGAAGTTCAAAACATATTCCCCAGAGCCACAGGGAAACATGCATAAAAGACAGAGTCCAAATATGAAATATACGAGACTGTACACCCATTTGTGAGGTGGATCGTTTTATAGCCTATGGGTGAGTAACAGGCCAAGGCTAGGTATCCGCAGCCTCATCCAGTGATACTGTCTTCAATCATGTTAATTAAATTAATATGCCTTGCACTAATGAAAACTGCAAAAATCTATTCTGGTTTCTATCAGCACATACATTTTGATAATTTACTCCTGTCATCCTTGTGTGCTTCTCAAGTCCCGAATCCAAAGCTTATGGTATCAGGGTAATTTTAAGCATTTTCTACACAAAAACTAACAAAGGAAATCACTAGTGAAGTAAATTTCATTTGGGTGAGCAGCAAACCAAATCAAGAATTAGAGATCCGTGATGGCTTTACTTACACTTCCAGTTTTATTCATCTGTCGTCTCTCTTCCTTAACATATATTCTTCTTTGACATGTTTTCTAAGTGATTAGCCACCTGAGAAAATATTTAAATGACCATATCATAAGGTAAAAGATTTATGGCCTAAATTACATTAAACAAATTCAATATGCTGTGCATATGGAAATTAGAAGCTTTCAGATTATATTTTAGCCATTAAAATGTGCCTTAAAATATTTAGTTTCTGTTTGCAACAGTATGATGTTCTCTTCCTGTTCGTCTAATGGCAGATTCTCAGAGTAACCAAGCGAAAACGAATGGCTTAGTCCTTGGTTCAGAGAAATAATGGGTTACTAGCATAATTAATTTTATGTTTAATTACTGTAGAATGAAACAATTCAACAATATCCAATCAATCCTTAGAATGACAGAACAGAAGGTCAGCAGTTGCTAAGTCAATTGTTTTGAAAGAGAAATTTATGTCAGGTTCTCTTTTATGCGCTATGGAAAGAAATTGGATAAAAGTGGTCAAGCAAACATTAATTAATTGTATAAATATAATCCGGTTGTCGTGCTAAATCATACAGGCAGGATATAGCTCTCAGAATGGTGGGCATGCATCAACCGCAAATTTCAGTGACATGCTAGACCCCACCCCCATTTCCATGCCATACACAATCAAGAGGCTTGGAGTGAAATATTAACATCTCTAGAATTATTTTCCTAAAGTTTGAGTTGACAGCCCCTTGAAAAGGAGTTGATGGTTCCAGTACATTTCCTTCCATGCCAGCCCCTGAGCATGAGGGGCTGAGACTAACTGACCTCCTCTTCCCTTTTGCCTCCCGGCTACTCCCTGTTGTCCCATTAATAGCAAGAAAGAGAAACCAAACTATTTCACAGGGCAATTCTTCTGGTTCTAGCATTGATCACATCTGGGGGCTCATATAGACAGAAAGACCAGTGAATACAGAAAGGGGTCCACATTCCCTTTTGACATTTAAAGAGTTAATTGTCCAAGATTTCCTCCTCACTATAGATTTCCCCAGCATTTAATGCATTTAAATACTCTGCTTAGTTGACTCGGAAAATTCCAGCTTTCCGTCTGCTGTCACTAAAGGACTATACCAATGCAACTGTGTACTTGCCTCAGGACAATCCCTTCTGCCTCCGTTACAACCCTTGTGGGAAATGCCTCCAAACGCCTTATTTTATTTCTTCTCAGCAGTCCCATTCCGAAACCAGAGTAGCAGTCTGGCAGTCACTCTTCAAGCACGAGGGTGAAAAACCACGTGGGCATCACTGAAGAGTTTTCTGTGAGAAAACTGGGAGGCATCACTCTTCCATGGTGTCCACCTACCCATCCTTCAAAGTCAGCTTTGAGAGTGAGTGAGAGGAGTGAAGAGGTTGTGCCTGCTGCATTTCTGATGTTACTAAAAGGAAGAAGAGTTAATTAATGGGACTGGGCAAAATGTAGAGCACGTGCATTTGCTGAGATTAAAATCAGTAAGGTACTAGAGTCCCTGTTGGGTTCCTGAACTAAAGGAACACAAGGGAGATGGCCAAGGTACCAGAAATATTCTGATCTTTTTATCTGGAGGCTGGTCATGCAGAGACATTCAGTTGGTGAAAATTCACTAGGTTTATCATTTGGGCACTTTTTTTTTTTTTGTCTATGGATAGACTCCAAGAAAAAGTACTTGAAAATAAAAATAAAAACGTAAGATCCTAATTCCTGTACCAAGTGAAACACCTGATGTATAGGCCTCCAGGTCTGGGAGTCATGGTTTTCCAAGAGGATCTTGAGTTCATTACAGAAAAGTGTGTGGACAAGTCTGGTTTCGTGTGTGTGTGTGTGTGTGTGTGTGTGTGTGTGTGTGTGTGTGTGTGTGTGAAAAAAGTAAAGATTTTGCTCATACTGAATTAATACTCTAGAGTTGCAACCTAATTTAGCCAGGCTGACTCGGGCATGTGTTTATTCAGGCCATCTGTTACCAACAGTAGCAGTGTAGCACTTTGAAGCTATGTCTTAAACACAGAATTTTCTTACGAGAGACCAGAATAACCCTCTTGAATAATGTGCAAATAGCTAGCAGGATGTGCGTGTGTATATGGAAAGCCCCATGGACCAGAACAGGTGAAGAGTCCATATAACAACACCAACCCCCTTTCCATAAGTTATTGTGGTGCCTACAATCAACCACAATGTTGAAACAATTTTTTTCCTTGGGCCACTACAGATTTTCCAGTAGGGCAATTCAGCTAGTTTTAACATCCTTAAATATAAAGCAACTGTGACTAACAAATTCAGCATCTTCAGAATAATCCATGGATTATTTCTTCCTGTGTAAAGATTGATCTCCGTAGCAAAAAGAAACAATCCTCTCAAACTGAATGGCTACCAGGCTGAAATCCACATTGCCTGGGCATTGAAAGTAGTATATTTCTCATAGTTGACCTGGTTGACCCTCTGAATAGAGCTATGTGGAAAAACTGATGCTCTCTAAATAAAACAAAAATCAGAAAATGCAGGAGATGACTAGATTAAAACCATTAAATTACATTCCTCAAAAAGACATTTGATAAATCAGCCACTAGCATTTTTGAATAAGTCTAGTTTAATGGGATACCCAAAGATATCCCTTTTTTTAATGCTATATGGTCTTTGGGACCACACATCTAATTTCTCAACCAGACAAATATTCAATTTTAGAACCCTCATAAGAAACTACATCCCTTTTTTATGGATTACTTATAAGTGGGTATATTAGGATGGATTGATATTATACTGTTTAGCATTATGTTTTCTTGAAACTAAGAGGCTATCAGTTATAAGAATCACCATTATTTTACATACCACCAAGAAAAAAATTGCTAATGTAAGAAATCTCATGACTTCTCTCTTAAGACACAGCTTTATTTCATATATTAAAAGGTGGAACATTTTTGTTCTAGAAGTGATGAAATATCTTCTTCGTACTACCAAAAAGGACGGAGGAAAAATATTTTAGCTAATTTTAAAATTCAACAGCAATCACCAACAGATAGGATTTTTTTGTTGTTGTTTTAGTTTTAAGATAATTGCATTGATCATAAGCCTTTTCTATGATTTAATATGGAAAAAGATAAATTGTCTTGCTTCTTTCAAAACAAAGTTACTATCTTCTGCAAAGTGAACATAAAAGGTCACAGTCCCCATCTTCTATTTTCTGCAATAGCATTTGCACTGCTACTGAAAACACGACATAAAATAGAGTACATAAGATCCATGCAAACTGTAATTCATGAAATGCAGTTTCTCAATATTTCCTTTAAATGCTCTAAAGCAATTATACAGCCACTATACAAGAACTTAGACATGTGTAATTATAGTTGAAAAGTGCATTTGCAACACTGAATTTAACCACATTCTCTTAAACTTGATCTCCAAATGTCCATGGCAGTAATAAAACCATCATATTTGCCCCAGTGGATGGTCCTTGAAATTAGTTTTTCTTTCCATTTTTAACTATAATACATTGGCTTTCAGGAGAATAAGTAAAAGCCTAAATTAGAAGAAAACCCAATTATTTGAAACTTATAATGTATTCCAAACATAATGCTGAAAAACTTTGTTTTATTCAGGAAAGTTCATGATTTTTTTTTCTTTTTCAGTGGAGTTAGGATGAATCCTCTAGATTTGGAATTTTAATCCTATAATTATTTTGAAAACTTTGAATAAAATATACAATCATTCAATAAGATTGAGGTTTTTAAAATTATCAATAGGTAATAGTACTTTCCATGGGCCCACTTATCTAAACATAGTAAAATGGGGTATTGATTAAAATACGTTAAGAAAAAATGACCATTAATGTGGCTTACATACTTTATAGGTGGGATTCATTAGGAATATTTTGGTATGAGGTGTAAATAGCACTTTATCACTAGTGTTATCAGATTGCTGTGGATCAAAGTTCCTGTGAGTTCATTTTTACTCCTTATAAAATTCTGTGTAAATATCTAACAACCAAATGCAAGGTGCAAATTTTAATTGCATTCTTGATTTTTAAAAGATAAATTTAAAATACATTTTGGGGACTATTTAGGATATTGGAATATGGACTTTATATTCAATTATACTATTGAATTTTTGTTAATTTTCTTAGGTGTGCAACACGTTATTTTACGTAATAGGAGAATGTCCTAATTTCTAGGAGATACATGCTAAAGTATTTAGGAGTGAAGTTTCATGATGTCTGTAACTTACTTTAAAATTGTGTGTGTATGTGTTTGTGCATGTGTGTACACATATTAAAGAGAATGCACAAGTATGACAAAATACTAACAACTGGTGAATCCCAGTGAAGGGAGGTACTATCTTTTCTATTTTTCTGTAGGTTTGAAATTTTTCAACATGAAAAGTCGGGGAAAACCTGTATAAGTACATGGAGAAGCTATTCCTTTGAACAACATTTGAGATCATGTAATTTTTCACTTTCCTTCCATTACAATAGTAATGGGAGGGTATGTGCTTGCTTAATTTGGGTATGTGCTTCTCTGCTGCTCCAATAAAATACTTCTAAAAGTACAGCAGGTCAACAGGCCTTGTTTTAAGTTTATTAACTGATAACCTACTTTCAATGACAAAAGAAAATGTAACTTAGGCCTGTTTTAGAGACATGATTGTCAGCTCTCATGGTCAATATGTCATGCAGGGTACACTTCATTAGGGAGTGAATTACTTCACTTGTAATCTGAGCCAAATGAACGTCAATGTCAGGTTGCATAAATCACAGTTTAAAATGTATCACTATGTGCAATCAGATAGGGAACATCACCCTTTGCCCTCCAAAAACACTCCAAATCAGGCTTGTTTTGTACAAGTTTTCCAAGTGGCCGGCAGTCTCTTTTGTACCACAGAGAAGCAATTTCCCTGCCCCTGAAAGAACTGCAGGGGTTAGATGTAATGTTTGTGTGTCTTATTGCTACACTTCCATCTCTGGTAAGAGTAAAAACTAAAATTTACCATGTCCGAAGATTCATTAGATAAGATAGCAAACCTTTCAGTTTGATACCCCATGTAATGTTAAGAGAAATAATTGAAAACTCTCTGAAAAGGATATAGACTGGAAAGTGTATCATGTTGACAAAATCCCTCTAATGTCCTGCACTGCATAGAAAAGGCAAATCCGTTTTAAAAGAGGTCCAAAATGCATCTAGTGTAATGCGCTTTTCCTTGTTCAAGCCAACGAAATGCACATCTGCTCCGAATGTTCTAAATGAGTGGATTCAGCAGCTGAATTGACCTAACTGGGTCTACACCGACTGCGTTCATGGCTGAGGACATCAAGGAGGTTCAGTAAAGTGGAGACAGAGTGGACTCCAGGATCAGACAGGAAATGGGTTTTCACCCAGTGCGGCCACTTTTTGTGTGTATGCCTGAGCAAGTCAGTGTTTCTCTACCTCACTTTCTTCATCCATGAAATAGGTATGATTACACCCCCCTCTCCAGACTGTTGTAGCCATTAACAATAATATATGAAAAAACACCTTGCAAGGGCTTGACACATATATCAGGTACTCAGAAAAGGAAATCTATTATAAATTGCATAAAAGCAGTAAATTTTATTTTTCCAAGATATGAATGGTTTTTGATTGAGTAGATCACTCTGATCTTGGTCTCCGTTGATAATTAATGTAGGTTGGATTAATAGTTCAATGCATACATTAGTGCATTTCAAGTACTCAATAAGGCACATTATGCACAACACTGAGTGAACTAGAAATCTGGCTTATTATCATGTTGTCTCATGACAATGAGCAGCTCAATGAAGAGCTGAATTTTCCACCTGGAATGAATGGCCAGTGGTGATCAGATACCTACTCCTTTTGTTCCCTATAGCTAACTTTAAATGCCAGCTCCCAATCAGGGGTTGAAGAGGAACAACTACTTTGCATTTCCCAGGAGTTCAGAATGGGTAAGGGACCCAGCAGTGGCTTCTAGAGGTAGGGGCCAACCTGACAGGGCAATACAGGGGAGAGGAGTCCCACAGAGGACAATGGTCCCTGCCCAGAATGTGTGTAGGGGGACTTACTTGGAATTTTACAAGATGAGGCTTTTTGTTCTTTTTAATCTGTGGACTAATCTCCTCCCTGTGGAGTCCCAGCATTTCACTATCAAATTACCTCTCCTGGGGGCCGGGCCGGTGGCTCACGCCTGTAATCCTAGCACTCTGGGAGGCCAAGGCGGGCGGATTGCTCGAGGTCAGGAGTTCGAAACCAGCCTGAGCAAGAGCGAGACCCGTCTCTACTATAAATGGAAAGAAATTAATTGGCCACTAAAAAATATATACAAAAAATAGCCAGGCATGTGGTGGTGCACGCCTGTAGTCCCAGCTACTCGGAGGGCTGAGGCAGCAGGATCTTGAGCCCAGGAGTTTGAGGTTGCTGTGAGCTAGGCTGACGCACGGCACTCACTCTAGCCTGGCAACAAAGTGAGACTCTGTCTCAAAAAAAAAAAAAAAATCACCTTTCCTGAAGGAAAATGTCAGCAAAAATAAAAGAGATTGAACTTCCTAGAATATCAGGACCAATGTTGTTTTGTTCTGTGTTGAGAACAAAATATCTGGTCCCCAATATCTGGTCTCTTTTGTCTGTAGATAGGTGGAAATAACATTTTTGAGATGTGATTTCTGCTCTCTTGGCAGAGGGGTAAAACTGGGTAGAAAGGAGTCAGGCCAGGGGCAGGCACATGGTAGGCTAGGTGCTCAGTAGGGTAACTGGGAAGCAAAACATTGCTTCCTTCAGCTTTAAAGCCATAAGGAACAATTATCATTGTCATCCAACAAATGAAGAACTCTCCAAAGAGCAACCTTTGGAAAAGCAGTCTGGCCATGCAAATTCACATATTCAGTGTTAATCTAAACAGTCCTCAAGGTGGCTGGAAGTTCAGGACAGAAGCTAATAAAGTCAGCAACTGGATTTAAAATTAAAAAATGTCCTTCCCCTGTATAGGACATTTTTCAGCTTGCCCTATCCTTTGGTCACAGCCTGCATGAGAATTTCTTTAGATTTTTCAAAAGTGAAAGTTGGAGTAAATAAGATGTGAGCACTGGAGGCTGAGATCCGTGAGAGGTGTTATTTAAACAGCTCTTTAGATGGGCAAATACGGCAGCTTGATTAAGAGATGCATACCTTGATCATCTGTCATCCGCATGTCTTTAAGCCCTGAGGGGTAGTTTGTGCCAGATCGGGAGAGAAGTATGCCCCAGGAGACTGAGGACAGCACTACCTGGTAATCAAAAAAGAGAAATGAACATGGCATTGAAGAGACTTAAAGAGGCGGGCACAGAACTCATTTGTTTATCCCCTAATATAAATTTCCTCACAGATCTCGTTCATTTCTGCTATCCTTCTCCTTAGCTGAAAAAGAAATTGCATCATTTCTCTTCCTCTGCCTTTGCATCTCCTTTCTCGCAGGGTGCTACTTGCATCTTCAAGTGTGCTGGATGTCAGCACTGCCCACAGGTCTAGACCAGGCCAGCCTGGTCCCAGGTCAGAGTGGCTTTTACAGATTTCCATGAGGCAAAGGGCTCTTCTCTCGGGGCCTGAACTACAGGACCTTGGGAATCCAGGAAAGGAGAATGCAGATAGTCCCAGACTGAGTTTGAGAGGTTTGATCTCAGCTACAGAAGGCCCTGACCCAAGTCCAGCTTGTGCCATTCCATTCCAGACTGGGACAAGGCCAAAGTGACTCAGCAAACCCCATTCATCCTTTCTGTACAGCTACTTCCAGTGGGTTTACATCCATTTGTAGCATTTCCCTTTTGCAAACTGGCTAGAATTTATTGTGATTGTTTTCTACTTTTTATTTTGTATTCCACATTTTGTAAAATAAAATTTTTTCTGCCCACACCTGCCCTGATACTTACTCTACAGCAATAGATATAGCAGTCTCAATATATACTTTATAAATGTGTATATGAATTAAGGAACTCTTTGAGAAAAGGGGTTACAGAAGCATTTATCTAAAATCCTGTGTTCCACACCACTAAGTAGGTGGACATAGCACCATTTATTTGTTTTAGAGGGTCAAACTGCCTTCTAAGAACAATTCATTGACATGTAAAAGTTTTGAAATTAAACATCTTCCTCCTCCAAATTTCATTTCTTTGCTAAAAGCTAAAGTTTAGCAACTGATAAAAACAAATGAATATTAAACCTTTAGAAGTTTAATGATTTGGAAAATAAGAGCAAATAAAGGTCTTATTTTATTAATTTTTATTCCTTTAATGTAAAATATTTCTGAATATATAACAATGTATGTGGCCCGGCATGGTGGCTCACGCCTGTAATCCTAGCACTCTGGGAGGCCGAGGCGGGTGGATTGCTCAAGGTCAGGAGTTCAAAACCAGCCTGAGCAAGAGCGAGACCCCGTCTCTACTATAAATAGAAAGAAATTAATTGGCCAACTGATATATATATAAAAAATTAGCCGGGCATGGTGGCGCATGCCTGTAGTCCCAGCTACTGGGGAGACTGAGGCAGGAGAATCGCATGAGCCCAGAAGTTTGAGGCTGCTGTGAGCTAGGCTGATGCCAATAGCACTCTACTGAAGGCAGTAGAGTAAGACTCTGTCTCAAAAAAAAAAAAAAAAAAAGAATGATAATATAAAGAATATCTTTAGAGTCATCATTCAGCTTTAAACATTAAATATTACAAGCATAATTTGTAACATTTCTCTATTGGGAAAATATTTGCATTCTCCCAAATACCTGTGTCTCTAACTCCCCCACTGGAGGAAACCCTGATTCCAAATTTGGAGGTTATTAATGTGAAGCATATCTTTTTAGTTTTTTATATATATATGTAAATTTCTCTAGACAACATATGAAATCATTTTGCATATTTTAAAGTTTTGCATAAATAGCATCACATTGTATTATACATATGCGATTTGTTTTTTGTTCCACTCCATACTTCTTTAAGATATATCCATTTGGATACATATTCCTCTAATTTATTCATTTTTCACCATCACATATGATTCTATTATATAAATCTACCACAGTACATGCACCCATTGAAAGCCTGAGTTTCCAAACAGGAGAAAGCACTTTTGTATGACGAGAAAGAAAAGATAATCATATAAACCTAACCCTTCCATTTATACACATAGTGGCTGCAAACCATGGCTCGGTTGCCCTGAGACTTTTCTCCTTGCCGCTGAGGGATCCCATCTGAGGAAATGGCTAAGGCAGAATTTTGTTAAGCGAATTAACAGCGTGTAAGACAAGTGGTGACAGCCTAGTGCCACTGCCTAATCCCACGCCTCTCCCTGGTGGTAACAGCTTTCTCACTGTGCCAGGGAGGCCAAGGAATACCCATATATCAGCTATCTGGACACCGTGCTGGGCCACCCTTCAGGATGCAATTTCTGTTTCTCCAGCATAATCGTTTATTTTATCACTTCATTCAAACTGTGTGCTTGGATTAATACATCCCAGAAACACCAGTAGGGTAGGCTTTTCTCATGTCATAATCACCTTTCTGGAGAATCCAGGCTTTCTCTGTTTAATGGATCAAAAATCAGGTTCAGTTGCCACTCACAAACAAGCCCCAAGATGAGCAGTTTTCCTTCCCCTGTATCCTCAGCTGCCCAGCTCTGCCTGTCTTGACATTCAAATCAGCACGTGTGAGGACAAGAAAAGAGTGATGCACTAGAGGAGGAGCCAGGGGCCCTCACCCACTCCAGGGAGTCTCTTGTTCCTGGGTAAGGATAAAAACGAACACCTGTGTGCCAGACACATGCAGCCGAGCACGGGGACTGCTGCTGCATCTTGCAGCACTTAGGGAGAATCAGGCAAAGGAACCCGCTGGCTGATGGCAAGTCTGAGAAGCTGGATTAGCAGTGGTAGGAACAGCTGTGTGGGTCTGGCCCCCAGGTGGGGAGTCAGACACTGACAGCAAGTATTTGGGGAGCAAGGTTGGTGGCCAAGATGCTGTCAAGGGTGGGGCCTCCTGTTGACCTTCAGAGGGCAGAGGAAACCAGTGACACTAATAAAAGGTGTGTCCCTACATAAGGAGAGAAGTGTGATAAGCAATGTAGCATTGAGGTCTCCATGCAGATCATTCTATACTTTAGTTCTGTACTTCTCCTTCAGCAGCAAGATTCTGATTCATATTTTGAAAAAAGGTTCTCATGCATGCAAGGCCCCTTTAAAAATTAAGTAAATGTATGCAATGTAATACTACTCAACCATAAAAAAGCATAAATCACTGTTACACAAAGCATTATGAATGAACTTCAAAATCATCATGCTGATACAAAGACAGAATAGAAAAATATATACTGTATGTTCTATTTACACAAAGTCTGAGAATAGGCAACACTAATCTTTGGTTATAGATGTCAGAAAGCAGTGGGTAGTGGCAGGGAGGGCAGCTGACTGGAAAGGGAATGATGGAACTTTCTGAATGATAGAAATGTTCTATATGTTATTTTGTGTGGTGATGCTACAGGTAACTGTGACTATTGGTATTCTTCAACCTGACCTTTAAGATCTGTGCATTTTATTGTAGATAAATGATAATGCACTTTTATAAATGTATACCTAAAAAATAAATATATTAATAAAATCAAGCCAAGAATGTGTTGGGCTAGGATAATTTTTCCATAGAAAATATGGAGTCCAAGAGAATCACATGAGAGTTTTTTTTATTTTAATTTTTACTTTTTATTTCAGAGTATTACAGGGGAGATTTTCTCATGTGAGTCCAACTCCATCTCCTTGGAAATACATACATTTAGACGACTGCACTATTTATTTTTACTTTTACTTTTTAGAGACAGGGTGTCTCTCTGTTGCCCCAGCTAGAGTGCAGAGGCACAATCACATGGCTCACTGCAGCTTTAAACTCCTGGCCTCAAGCAATCCTCCCAACTTGGCCTCCCACAGTGCTAGGACTACAGGTGTATGCCACCATTCCGAGTCATCTCATTATTTTAAATGGTCACACTGCCTTAGGATTTCCTGTCCCCTTTCTTTTCATATTTCTCCTTCCACAGCACTTCCCATTCTCTGACAGATACATATACATAGCTACATGTATGTGTATGTATATGTATTATGTATCTATTTATATGTATTATAATTACATTTTCGATTATATATCTGTTTACTGTGTGTCTTTCTTCATCTAGAATGTAAACTTCACAAAGGCAGGATTTTTTTGCCAATTTTGCTCACTTCTGTATCTCCAGTACTTAGAAAAGTACACACAGTACATGGTATGTCCTCCACAACTATTTTTAAATAAATTAAAAGAAAGAAAAAAATTGACTAGCTATTTGAGATCATCCAGCCCAAATCTGTCATTTGACCGATGTGGACACCGAAACCCTGAGAGGTTAAATTACTTTTTCCATTACAAATCAGAATGTGGCAACACTGTGGGTGAGAACAGGCCACTCCCGGGATCCTACTTCTCTCTCTTGAGTAAGGTCACTAATAACACCTGGTTTGACCAGTTATCAGTTCCTCCTTCCTTTTAATTGCTTTTCATGCATGTTTATAATTATTCAAATTTAATGGGTCATCAAACTTAAAGAATGAGACACAAAATAAACACTGTGCTCATATTCGGCCTGACTCTCTTACTTCCAACATAAGTAATATAACACTCTTGCTCATGTTCGTAGTGAATCCAATCTGGAATGACATCTCTTGAAACTTTTCTACATAAAGATAATTCAAGGTTCTGAATGTCTGCTTCATATAAAAAGCATTGCGCTAGGTTCACAGGGGACTAATAATGGTGTATTCTAAGAAAAGCAAGGTACAAAAGCATTTTATACGCATTACTTAGTTATTGAGGACAAGATACATTACTTGGTTATTGTGTCCAGTGCCCTTTTACTATATTACCAAACATGATGAAACCTTGAGCTAAGGAATGCAGATCTATGGAAGATTCCAGGCATCAATCAATAGTTTCCTTTCCTGTATTTCTAAAATTGTATCCTTTTTCTGCAAGAGGCTGGCCTTGTTCATTCTTGAGTGCAAGTTACAGAGAGTGAACAGTTTATCTATAGTGATAGCAACAGATCAGATAGCCCCCAATACCAAGGCCAGGAAGGACTGACAAAGAAGAAGTAAGAAAAACAAGGAGTTACACTCAGGAAATCTTGGCAAAAGTGAAAGTTAATTATCATGCTGTGTTAGCGTCATTTTACAAGACTCAATACCCACCTTCAAGTATTCTCTGCAAAGATACTTCAGGAGTCTTTCTTCATTTCACTCATCTGATAAATATTTACAGAGTGCCTGTTATGGGACATGCACCTTTAGAGGTGAATACATTGATGCATATTTCTGACTTCTCCCCAGATCCACTATGCCATACCCCCCTCTCTTCCCCCTCAAACAACTTCTATGGTCTTGTACAGTTGGCCTCAACCACCAGCCAGCAAGAAAAAAGACTTAAATTGACTAATATCCTACCATTGTCAGAGTAATTAATAGTCTGTTAACCTGGCATTCTCCTTCACACACACACACACACACAAATATTTTCATTTTAAAAGCTAATGTTTGTGAGCCCAGATGATTCTTTAATTGTAGACTTCCAGGCAGGTAACAAAGTGAAGTCAAAGTAAAGATTTGAGTTGGAGAAGAAGGAAATTGGCAAACAGGAGGGCAGGTAGGGTTGGTGCCTAGAATTGGCTTCTCGAATGTGCTTTTCTCTGCTTCTTTCTTTAATCTTTATCTGAATTTGCCATTTTAAAAAAGCCTCAAGGATTTCATGTAAGGGATGAGAGTGGGGATGAAGGCAGAGAAGTTCTCTGCTCATGCCAAGATGTGGAGCAAACAGCAAGGTTTGGTGTGTCCACCATTTTCAGAGTTAGAGTTTTTAGGTTGCAGATTATCCCAACAGAAATCTTTTAAATTTTGATTTTCTAGGAAATTCTTGGAGACTGATTAGCAAGCAAAGAATTAAAACACCCCCTGTTATGGACTGAATGTTTGTGCTTCCACCCAAATTTTTAGGTTGAAGCCCTAACCCCCAAAGTGAAGGCATTTGAAGGTGGGCTTTTGGGAGGTGACAGGGGTTAGATGAGTTCATGAGAGTGGGATACTTATGATGGTATTAGTTTCCTCATAAGAAGTGACCACTGAGAGCTAGCATGCTCCTTCTCTCCTCATGCCATCCCTCCTCCCCCTCATCCCATCCCTCTTCCTCCCCAGCCCTGTGCTCGTACAAAGAGGTTATCTGAGCACACATTCAGATGGTGGTCATCTACATGTCAAGAGAAGAAGGCTCAAAATGAAACCTACCTTGCTGGAATCTTGATCTCAAAATTCTCAACCTCCAGAACTGTAAGAAATAAATTTTTGTTGTTTAAACCACCCAGTCTATGGTATTTAGTTGTATAGCCCAAACTAACTGATACACTCCTATTCTATATTCCCAAATTAGAAATAATAATTTGCTATAATTCTTGATTATATTATTTACCTTCCCTCTATTCTCTCCTTGACCAAATCTCTCTCTCTGTCACACACACACACACACAAACACACACACACACACACATACACACACACATACACATACATACATACACACGCTAACACAGAGGCTAAGAAAATAACTACCCAAGTAAAATTGCCAAAATAGAACAGATTTTTTAAAATATACTATGCATACCATACACAACTTGAATGGAAAATAAAATAGATCAGCCTGACAAAGAAGAAGAATTTTTTTCTAGTTGCTTTCAATCATCTTTTGTGATGAGTCCTTATAAAACTCATGTGAATAAGGATGTAGAACGAGCCCAGCCTATCTTTATCCCTCCTCCCCCCGCCCACTGTCTTTATCCCAGATTTAGGATTCACTAAAACGGCTCACGCCCTCCCCAGTATTTTGGTTGGTTCAGTGGGGTTTATTTTTCCTGCAGGGCTTCAAGCATGGTGCTGACTATCTCACAGTGAGAACCCTGTCAAGCAGTTGCCAGGAGAGCTTCGCTGAGTTGAGTGGCCTGGGGAGTAAGTTCATAAATTGAAGAACTCATTTATCTTCCACAGTAACCCCCGCCCCCCGCCCCAACTAACTACAAACTACTTAACCCATCAAAACCGAGAGCTGCCAAAGCCACTTTCCTCCTGGGACCGTAAATACCTCCAGAGTCGGAGTCACAAAGCTTTTCCAGCTAGAATACTCGTGATTGGTTTAAACTTGCTAAAACCCTGATTATCTTTAGATTCAGGTTTCTCACTTAAATCACTAGCCATTCTATATACATGATTAAAGAATTGCAACTGAAGATAAAAAATAAATGAGGAGTCACATTACCATCTTGTTCATCTCTCAGGAGCTTCAGACTTCTCAGATAGGGCAATAACACTGTGATGTACCTTATATTTCCACAGGCTCTGAAAGTGGATGTTAAATTTTATAATCAAGCAAATTTTTACTTGAACAGGAATCCAGGGTTTTAAAGGAACTCTAGAAATGCTAATGTGAATCTCCTGCTACATTAACATAGTTAAGAATCTCTCTGCCTTTACTGCCATTCTGAAACATGCCAGACAAGTGAAAAAGGTTTGAATAATGCATTTTTTACTTCTCTCACCATGTGTTTGGTCTCTTAAGTCACTGGTGACTGGTTATCCTCATTCATTCATTTGTTGTCTTCATTCAATCAGTCATAAACATCTACTGCTAGCTAAAATATATGGTCAAGAGTACTGATTGCAAAATGTTTAATCATATCAAAAACTAGAAGGAAACTAAATATTCCTCTATAGAAAATTAAGAGTCTAGAAATCACATACCAACTTGTTGACAGTGGTAATTTCTGGGGTATTAGTGAGTGACATACTTTGGTACTATTTGAATTTTTTATGATAAGTAATCCATTAATCTCTTCGCCACAGTTGCACTTTCTTGTTTTGGGAGCCCATGCACATGGAAGAATTACACCAGGATCCCTTGTGGTTGGGTGGCACCATGTGATCGGCTCTGTCCAAAGAATTACTAATATAAGCAAAACTGGCATGTGTCACTTCCAGGCTGGAACATTTAACTGCTGGTATAAGATACTACTGAATGCTTTCATTTTGTCATGAAGCCCAGAAATGTTTGGTATAGTGGTGGCTCCATCAGCCTAGGTCCTGACATGAGGAAATGTGGAAAAGAGCCCTCAACTGATTGACAATGGACATGGAATTATAGCAAAAACTAAACTCTTATTATTATAAACCTCTAATATTTGGGGAGTTTGTTAATGAAGAATGACCTAGCTCATCCTGACCAATACAAATAAGCACATAATAATTTCATCTTTAAAATAAAAATGTTGACAAAACAGACAAAAACATTCACTGGGGAAAATAATCCCTACTCAATAAATGGTGCTGGGAAAATTGGATAGCCACATGCAGAAGATTGAAACAGGATCTGCACCTCTCACCACTCACAAAAATTAATTCACTATGGATAACAGAATTAAACCTAAGACATGAAACTATGAGAATTCTAGAAAATAGTAGAAAAACTCTAATAAATATCAACCTGGGAAAAGAATTTATGAAGAAGATCCCAAAGGCAATCACAGCAACAACAAAAATTAACACATGGGACTTGATTAAATTAAAAAGCTTCTGCACAGCTAGGGAATAGAGTGAATAGACAACCTGCAGAAAGGAAGAAATTATTTGCATGCTACACATTCAATAAAGGGCTGATAACCAGAATCTGTAAAGAACTCAAACAAATAAGCAAGAAAAAGTTAAACAACCCCATAAAAAAGTACACAAAAGATATGAACAGAGGTTTTCAAAAGAAGATAGACTAATGGCCAATAAGCATGTGAAAAAATGGTCAACATCTGTAATCATCAGGGAAATGCAAATCAAAACCACAATGAGATATCACTTAACTCCAGTGAGAATGGCTATTATCAAAAAGTCCCAAAACAACAGACAGTGGCATGGATGCAAAGAGAAAGGAACACTTACACACTGCTGGTGAGACTGTAAACTAGTACAACCTCTATGGAAAGTAGTATGGAGATACCTCAATGAACTAAAAGTAGCCCTACCATTTGATCCAGTAATTCCACCATTGGGGATTTACCAAAAGGAAAAAAAGTCATTTTATCAAAAAAACACTTGCACCTGAATGTTTATTGTAGTCCACAATTCGTAATCGCAAAGATGGGCAGTCAACTCAAATTGCCTATCAATATATGAGTGGATAAATAAAATATGGTATATGTGTACCAAGGAGTACTATCCATAAAAAATGGTGTAATACCTTTTGTAACAACCTAGATGGAACTAGGAGATCATTCTTCTAAGTGAAGTATCTCAAGAATGGAAAAACAAACACCACATGTATCCATTGTTAAATTGGAACTAATTGTTCAACACTAATATGCACACATGGAAGTAAAACTCAACCGAAACCAAGCTGGTGAGAGGGGGGAGTATGAGGCAGGTTAACAGGTACCATGCATGCTATCTGGGTGATGGGCACACCCATAACTCTGACTCAAACTGTACAAAAGCAAGTCATGTAACCAAAACATTTGTATCCCCATAATATTCTGAAATTAAAAAAAATTTAACTTAAAGAGAAAAAAATAAAACAAAGGTGTTGGTCTTCTGAAAAGCAGTATGTGCGAGACTGTTAATTTTAGCAAAAATATTCTAATGAGTGAGCCCTTCAACTTCATTCTTTTTCATGATTGTTTTTGCCATTCTGGATCCCTTGAATTGCCGTAAGTATTTTAGCATTTGCTTATCGATTTTTGCAAAAAAAAAAAGAAGCAACTGGGATTTTAATAGGACTTGCGTTGAATCTGTAGATCAATCTGGGGAATATTGTCATGTGAACAATATTAAATGTTCCAATCTATGAACATGGGACGTCTTTCCATTTATTTAGGTCTTCCTTAATTTCTTTCAATAATGCTTTATTGTTTTTAGAATACACATTACACTTCTTTTTTTAATGCATTCTCAAGCATTTTCTTCTTTTTGGTTCTAAATTGTAAATTGAATTGTTTTCTTAATTTCACTTTGGCTTGTGCATTGTTACTGTATAGAAATACCATGGATTTTCATATATTAAATTTTGAAATTTATATTGAAACTTTGCTGAATTCATGTATCAGATCTAATAATATTTTGTGGATTTCTTAAGATTTTTTTCATACATAAGACCATGTCTTTTGCAAATAGAAATAGCTTTACTTCTCTTCCAATCTGGATGCCTTTATTTTATTTTCTTGCTTCATTGTTCTGACTAGAACCTCTCATACAATTGGTGAACAGAACTAGTAAGAGTGGACATTCTCTTCTTGTTTCTAATCTTAAGGGGAAATCAACTAGCATTTCACCATTATATATGATATTAGCTATGGGTTTTTTGTACACACTTTGTATTAGGTTGAGGAAGTTCAGTGTTTATATCATAACAGGGTGCTGGATTTTGTCAAGTGCTGTTTCTGCATCTATTGAGATAATCATGTGGCTTTTCCCCTTTATTCTATTGATACAGAGTGTTACATTAATTGCTTTTTAAAAGTTAAAAGGAATGCTACATCTTTAGAAAGAGTAAGTATGTCTACAGAAAGTTAATTGGAAATTCATAGTTTCATGTCATCCTCTACCTCTTCTTGGTTCATCTTTTTGTATTAATCAGAATAGGCTAGATTACGCTGCTGTGAGAAATGCCTCCAGAATCTCAGTGGTTTAAAACATATGAATTTCTCACTAACATTAAGATTGCTATTGGTCAGACTCCATAGTCTAGTGCTTTAGCATTTATATAGTGATTCACAGATCCAGGTTGCTCTGATCTTGTGGATCTGCCATCTCCACACTGCTTTTATACTCCCTACCTAAGGGAAATCAAGAGACTGAAAAGTCACACAGGAAATTTTTACTGCCTCAGCCCAGAAGTGGCACATGCCACTTATTCTCAGATTTCATTGCCCATAATTAATCACACACTCCTGCTTTACTGCAAGGGGAAATACTAGAAAATAAAATTTTTATTGTGCAGGAGGGAGGAATATGAAACGGAATTTGGAAACACACAGAATTTTCTCTGCCACAGACTTTGTGTGTTCTTTACCAGTTGTTATGGGTTGAAATGTTCCCACTCACCCCTCAAGAAAAGGTATGTTGAAATCCTTACCCCTAAAGTCACTTCAGAATGTGACTTTATTTGGATATAGGGTTTTTATAGATGCAATTAGTTAAGATGAGATTATATGGAAGTGGCGTGGGCCCTTAATCCAATATGACTAGCATCCTTACAAGAAGAGAAAAACGTAAAAACAGACACACAGACAGAACGCCATGTGATGACAGAGGGAAAGATTGGACTGATACAGCTTCAGGCCAAGAAATACCGAGGATTTACAGCCACCATCAGAAGCTAGAAAGAGTTAAGGAGGGATTCTCTCAGAGTCTTAGAGGGTGCATGATCCTGCTGACACCTTGATTTCAGGCTTCTAAGCTCCCAAAACTGTAAGAGAATAAATGTTTGTTGTTTTCAGCCACCTAGTTTGCAGTACATTGTTATCACAGTTCAGGAAACTAATATGCCAGTCAAGAATATTGTTATGAGGTTTTATTTTTTATTTATTTATTTTTTTTTTACTGAATCTAAGATATCATCAATGGTAAGACAGGAATCTGTCTTACGGATCTCTGAGAAAGGAAAAATGCTGCCGATTAAACTGTGACATGCTGCCTTAATGATAATCCTGTGCAATATATAAAATAGTCACACTATCTTCTCTTTGCTGTGCAGTATCTTTCCTTTATACCAAGAGATATAGCAATTTGTGTGTCTTTAGGTGTGTGGCTTAGCTGCCCTTAGCACATGATATGTGATCATTTTGCACATTTCTCAGTAACAATAAACAATACAGCCACAGCTACTTATAGGTTTAGTCCCTTCTTATGTACTATAAAGCATATGGTTGTTCTTATGCAAGAAAATATAGAATTCTATCCATTCTTCCAAAATTGCTTTCCTAATATCCAATTTATGCCCCGCTGCTCTGTGTTCTTGCCTTTCTGCATATGTAGTAACTTTTCATTTCAACACTAAATTATGCTGTAAATTGTGAAAGGTAGAGTTTTTAAATGGTAATCAAACTCAACACATAATAGCAACAAAGCACATAACTCAACCAAAATGATGACAATATGAATAGCTATGACCAAGTTCATGGCTTTGCAGGAAATGACAACTACATCACATTGCCACTGGGCCAACGGCGATTGTGAAACACTATCAGTGTGCCACGTAGCCCAAAGTTAGAGTGAAAAGATTGGCATCTTAGAATCAATATCTTACAGTCATGAAATAATAATGGTCACAATAATATCACGTTGCTCAGTCTTGACCAAGCATAAGACTTTGTCCTAGAATAGTAGTTCTCCAAATGTGGTATAAAGATGCCAGGGGTGTTCCTGAGCTGTCTTCAGGACATCTGTGAATTCAAAGCTATTTCCACAAAAATACTAATGTGTTCTTTCCATTTTCATTCTCATTCTCTCATTATAGTACAGGAGAGCTTCCCAGAGGCTGTGGATGTGAAATTCCATAACAAATTAAATGCAGAAGCAGATAATAGAATCTGTGGTCTACTAAACTGAACATTTTGACACTCTTTTCATTTTTTGTTTTAGAAAATGTATTTTAATTAAAAATAATATTATTTATCAAAATAAGAAATGGATTTATTATTATGTAGATGAATTAATACATTTTTTCTCAGTTCTAATTTCTAATATGATTAATATCAATGAATATAACAACAAAAGTCTTCAGTAATTTTTTAAAACATATAGGAACATTGAGATAAAAAAAGTTTGAGAATCGTTCTAGTAAAACAACATTTCAACCACCTTTAACTTTAAAGATGCATACCTTGGTCCAATGAACAAATCTTACAGGTGGGTTTGGATCAGTGTTGAAGAAAAGTCAAACACTCAGAAGATTATAATGCCCTATTCTGACATACATAATTCAAAAACAAAAACACTATCCTATAAAACACAATTTGTGTTTCAATAGGATATACATTTACTGCTTTAAAATAACTTATTTGGCTTTGTGTGTGTCTGTCTATCTGTCCTTCTCTTCCTGTCTCTTTTGTCTTTTGATGCCTCAAGTACGTGCTTGGTGAAGCTGCAGCCCCATGTTAACTTGGCTTTTCACAGCTGGCAACCAAAGCAAAGACTCTCGAATTCCTTCATGTTATCTTTTATTCGCAACCAACCTATTTGCCTCTTTCATGAGTTCTTCAACCCTTTCGTGGCTGCCTTCAAATAAGACACTTTTTTCCTACCTGTGGTTTAGGCATGGAGCCAGAAAATTTATCACAGCTGTCTATTTTATCTTACAGAATGATACTGGCACATCCTTTCTTTGCTACTTTGCCCTGAACCATTGTAGGCTTAAGAATTTCCTTACTTACAATTAGCAAAATTGTAATCGATGGGCTAAGTTTGGTGTCAAGTGGGAATGGTGGATTAAGTTTGTCCTAGGAGCCTTCCCACCGGCCTAGCACTTCTTCCTCTTTCCTAAAGTGTTAGTTCATCTAGTAAACTTGGATGCCAACTAATCCCTTCTACTGTATTTAATGATTGACAGCCATTTGGGGTGGGTCCACCCGAGTATGAATAAGCCCATAAATTATTTATATTTTGAGAAGTGACTCCTAAAGATTAAAAAGTTGTTTGGAACCAAATAAATTAAGCTACCAAATGGAATGGCAAGAAGCAGAGTAGTTATCTTTGAGCAGAGTTCTCTTTGAGTTATCCAGCTCAGTGTGTCTTCAGATGTTCAAACAAACGGCTCACGTTCACTGAGTGCTTACAACATATGGCAGGTGCTGATCTGAGCACTTTGCATATATTAACTCATTTAATCTTCACAACTAACCTAGCAGGTAAGAACTATTATTACTCCCATTTTACTGATGAGGACAGTCGGGCACAGAGAAGTCAAATTATCTCCTCTGGGTCACACAGCCTGATTAGAAGAACCTGAATCCAGTTCTAGCCAGCGTGCCCACAGAGCCACATACATAACCACTAGACCATACTACCTCTTGAATGAATCCTGCCCTTGGTGACTTGGGGTGCTGATACATCTTTTTGTGTCTTATGAGAAAGCTATTTGTGGTTGTCTCCCCTTATCCAAGGTTTCTTCATTCTGAGGTTTCAGTTACTGAAAACATTAAATAGAAATTTCAGAAATGAACTTCGGTAAGTTTTAAGTTGAATGCTTGTCATTCTGCGTATTGTGATGAAATATCCAGCCTTACCCTTCTATCCCGCTCAGGAGGGGACCTGTCCCTTTGTCAAGCATCTCCATGCTGGCTCTGATGCCATCCCGTTAGTCACCATATGGCCGCTCCATTATCAGATCAACTGTCCCAGTATCACAATGCTGTGTCGAAGTAACCCTCTTTTACTTAATAATGGCCCAAAGGGCAAGAGTAGTGATGCTGGCAATTCAAATATACAGAAGAGAAGCCTCAAAGTGTTTCCTCTAAGTGAAAAGATGAATGTTCTTGACTTAATAAGGAAAGAAAAAAATTGTATGCTGAGGTTGTTAAGATCTAAGGTAAGAATGAGTCTTCTATCCATGAAATTGTAAACAAGGAAAAAGAAATCTGTGCTAGTTTTGCTGTTACATCACAAACGACCACAGTTACAGCCACGGCCTGTGACAAGTGCTTAGTTAAAATGGAAACAGCTTTAAATTTGTGGATGGAAGACATGAACGGAAACGTGTTCCAACTGACAGCAGTTGGGTTGGGAACTACCTGCATTTTCAAGAATCCACTGGAAGTCTTAAATGTATCATCCATGGATAAGGGGGGGGGGACTGCTGTACTTTAGTGAATTTTTAATTGTCTTCAGTTTCAGATCCATAATTATTTGTATCTAATAACTCATAATAAAAAGTCTTTCTTTTTTTAATTCATTGTCCTCTTTTTACATAAAACTTTGTAGGACTCATCATTCCTCTACCCTTGAACCCAAAGCATATGGGCTACCCACCAAAAAAAACATGTTTCCATTTGTTCTCCATCTGGCTGGAATTCCTTTTAAAGACAGAAGTTTGGGCTTTAAAGAAATCCTTGAACGTGCACCTTAGCGAATCTACCTATCTCTTCCTGCCAACTGTATCTTACTCCTTTAATCTTACTCAGGTTTCCTGGCTATCCCCACCTCAACATCCTGAAAAAAGAACGTAGCCTGTAGTTAAACAGCCCCATAAAGGAAGCAGGTATACCCATGATTACAAAGGTCGTAAACCATTGGTTCATGTTGGTTTTCTTCACAGCCCTTCAAAATAGGCAGAGCGAAACTTTTCTCTATCACCATTTTGCTGATGGACTGGGAAAGAAGGAGCCTGCCACAAACGGAATTAGCACTAAGCAATTTTCCCTTTCTTTTTATAAACAATTGCCCTTCAATATACAACAATTCTTGAGGTGTTCAGGTTACATGCTTATTTTAAGATCTTTTGTTTACTTTTTGATCTTCATAGGTCGTTGACATCCCATTTAGCACTGGTGACCTTGTTTATACAATTTTGATATAAATTAAAAAGTGTTCTCGGGGATAACAATAACATTCGTGATTTCAGTCCACCACATAAGCAAACAATAGCCTTTGCTCAGTTCCATATATAATTGTGCAAAAGCTTCAATGCAGACTCCAATACTGAGAGCAAATCTGATCAAACAAATTTGCTTTTTTACTTTTTATTCTAAGCAGGATGAGACTCCAGCCTACGTAAACTCCAATAATATAACGTATGGGACTTTTTATAGAATATAGTCTTAATAAAACGCTGGATAGGGCATTTCAGGCTTTAATTAATGAGAAGAAGCAAATCACTTAAAGAAACAGTAGGGATCTATTTCTACATCTTAACTTGGATTTAAAATGTTTCTTTTTCACTTAAAATTCAGAAGATTTTATTCCTTTTAAGCCTTTTGATTCTCTAAAAGGGAGAGAAGAATAATATTTTTGGAATTTGGTTTTTTAGTTTATTTTTTATTTTATTTATAATAAGCTTACATACTAATTTTTTTTTAATTTTTATTTTTTTGAGACAGTCTGTTGTCCAGGCTAGAGTGCAGTAGCATCATCACAGCTCACTGCAACCTCAAATTCCTGGGCTAAAGTGATTCTCCTGCCTTAGCCTCCCTAGAAGCTGGGACTATAGGCCTCCACTACCATGCCCAGCTAACATTTTAAATAAAAATGGACAACTATCCTTTTATAAAGGCACCATCAGTTGTGTGAATAATTGCAAGTATTTAGCAACCCATATTTCTGATAGCTCAGTCTGATCCTATTTCTTCATCCTTCATGAGTAGACACACTTGAACTAAATCCTCATTCTCTATTTTATGAAAAACTGTTATTTCCCTGAGCAAAGAAACTAACTTGGGAATACAGATAAAATTAAGAAGCCTATATTATCTTTCTAGAGGTATATCTTAAAGAAATAATTAGACAAGTATACAGAAATGTTCAAGGGTGTTGGTTTAGCATAATTTAAAAATCAAAAAAATGAAAATAGATTAAATGTCCACCAATAAGCAGTTATTTAAAAAAGTGAGGGTACATTAAAAATGGTATACTTTGCACCCATTAAAAATGATGACATGCATCTCACTTGTTGATGTGAACAGATGTCCATGATATATTAAGTTCATTATCCAATGATTAAAATAATCACCTAGAAATAAGTAAATAGACAAAGACTGTATAAGTATGCCTCTGTGTGTGTGTTTACACGTTCGTGAAAAGAACATTGATTACAAAGTGTGCTCTGAGGAAAACTAATCTTTTGCAATAAAGCTTCTCTAGTCAAATAGGTTTGGGAAACTCTGCATTTTATCTCCCTCTTGTGAACACCTTAGTATACATCAGCACATTAAAGGCTCTGAGAAGTCCTGCAATAAAAGAAAACATGTTTAAGTGCATTAAATCCCCAATTTCCCAAACTTATTTTAGCATAAATACATTCTTTCAAGTGCCCTGCAGAACAAACTTGAGCAACTTTTGGCAGTAGTACCAAAGATGACTTTTATCTTTGCTTTGGTACACTTTTTGAATTATTTTGCCATAGATAGGTATTGCTTTTATGATTGAAAAATTGAGCTAGTTAAAATTATTCTTTAAATCCTTTTGAGAAAAATGCACATTGACAAAAAAGATATAGTCAGAGATATTTAAGTGCATTGCTATAGATGAAACATCATATTTGATATGATAGGTCCTCTTTTTGTAAAAACAAACAAAAAGAATAATGAAAAAAGGAATAAAGAGAAAAAGAGAAAGGAAGGAAGGAGAAAAAAGGAAATAATAGGACATACAAGTTCTAGTTTCACCATTAATATCTCTAGGTCACCAATAACAGGTAATTCTCATTGCTTTACTTCCTTGTTTTCAAAGCGTTCTTTATTAAGTGTACATTTCTTTTGCAATTAGAAAATTAACAATAAAGTTTTTTATAGGAGGGCTCATGTATATTTTAAGGGAGTAAAAGAAACACACCAAAGAAAGATATGCACCATTGTCTCAATTCACACATTTGTGGTTGCTTCTATTTCTTTGGTAATTCAAGACTTTATCTTTTTCAAGTTAAATCTATTAGAGATAAAAATAATCCCATGTGTTCTGTTGTTCCTTTGAATTCTGCTTCTGTCTTTACTAACTATGCTCAATTTGCTCTCTTCCAGCACTTGGTTCATTATGAAAGAAATAGGCCGGGTGTGGTGGCTCACGCCTGTAATCCTAAGTACTCTGGGAGGCCGAGGCGGGCGGATTGCTCGAGGTCAGGAGTTCGAAACCAGCCTGAGCAAGAGCGAGACCCCATCTCTACTATAAATAGAAAGAAGATTAATTGGCAACTAACTATATTATAGAGGAGAGAGAAAAAAATTAGCCGGGGCATGGTGGGCCGCCATGCCTTTAGCCCAGCTTACTTGGAAAGGCGCTGAGGCCAGCGAGGATTACTTGAGCCCTAGCAGTTGAGGTCGACCGTGTAAGCTGACGCCACGGCACACTGGGCAACAAAGTGAGAGAGACTCTGTCTCAAAAGAAAGAAAGAAAGAATGATTTTTCAGAATATCCCAGAATAACACCCCACAAAGGATACTACTGTATAAATTACAAGTACTCAGGAGGGAAGCTCCCATCATCAAATCTCATAGTGTTGCACTCGTGAAAGCATGATAAATTAGCAGCAGAGCATTCATAGATTTCTTGAAAGAGACAAAAATTACAAATCTTGCTGACGATATTGTCTATGTTATTGTTTGGTTGTATTTTTTTGTTCCAGATTGTATTTGGTTGTATTTTTTTGTTTTTTGTATATTTTGCTAATGTATGTTTGTATTTTAGCTCCTTAGTTCAACCCATCAGTTTATGAGTAAAAAAGACACTTGGTTATTTGGAAACATTCTTATATTTGTCTAAATTATATTTCTAAAGAAGTTATAAGAACCATATTTTTACAAGATGTGAACATAGAGTAATGAGACTTTTAAAACAGGTCTCAACTTCCATGTCCAAATAAAAGTTATCCTTTAAAAATTAATCTTAGGAGACAATACGTATTTCAATGATCCTTCCACTGCTTAAAAACATTTGAAAAATCCTTTAAAGCTACATTACAAAACAGCAAAAACTTGTTCCTATTATTACAATGTTACACCTCATTTTTGAATAAAGATAAAAGTCCCAGCTTCAGCAGCCACCTTATTTGTTATATATTATCTCCAGTTGCTTTGGGGGTGCTTCCAAACACAAGCCAACCACCACACAGTAACAAGGTGCCTGCCAAGAATATAAAGACAATCAGAATACAAGAAGAGCAACAGCAAAAGGCCTATCACAGACTGTGAACTCTTTCAAAGTATGAAATCCACCCTCCTTTCAACACTAATTGTATTGAAATTTTGCAGGAATAAATATTCACAGATATTTGGAGATCTGTAAGAGGCTGTTTTTTTAAAAAAAAACAAAACTCTTTATATAAATATTATTTGTATTAATGCATGCATACATATATTTATATATAACCTACCTCCTGAAAATATATATATTTTGATATGTATAGAAAACCTATAGACTGGGTGTGGTGACTCATACATGTGGTTCCAGTACTTTGCAAGGCCAAGGCAGGAGGATTGCTTGCACCCAGGAGTTCAAGTTTGCAGTGAGCCATGATCATGCCATTGCACTCCAGCCTGGGTGACAGAGCAATACCTTGTCTCAAAAACAACAACAACAACAAAAAACTATATCCCCCTCCCCAATTATATTTAGCTTTGAAATGTGCTTAATAACACCCAGAGACTGACACACAGGTTACAGTGTGTGCCATGAGAGAATCCATCAAAAAAGATA